TCACCCTTTCTTCCACACTATATTTAGTATATGCTGATGGTTCTTGCTTGAGTTTCACTTTAATTTCTGTGAGATTGTTCTTTTGAGAGATGACATTAATAAAAGTTCTTATCTCTTCATTCAGTGGAATGGATACACTCAACTCCTGTAGACTGGTGTTGTGTCTGAGACCAGTTGTTAGGAAGGACAGGAATGAACTGGAAACAGCATACTCGCATTTGTCATTAATCTCAAGGTATTTCAGTGTTTGGTTTTGTGTTAGCATGTCTTGTAGACTAGTACCCATACTGCTGGTATATACTCTTTCCTCCTTTATCTTCACACTCAGAGCTTTAAGTATAGTATTGGTTTGTAGAATAGTAAATAGTTCAATAGCACTCTTAGCTGTGTATAGTGGTAAAGTAAGTATATGTAGACTGGGATGAGAGAGAAATAGAAGTGGTGGGTAGCATACTCCATGTTGTACTAGACAATGTATACCTTTGAAACCTTTGATTAGTTCATTACTCCACCATCCTCCTCCTATCTCTAGAGCAGTCAGTGGTGTGTTCACCTCTACTATATTCAGCGATGATGGTAGGGGTTTATCAATTAATGATGAGTCTATTGATGAGTTCAATGATGTTAGATCATCAGATATGTCTGATATTGATGAATCTGATGATGTTAGTTCATTAGATAAATGTATGTCTGATGAATCTGATGATGGTAGGAGTTTATCAGGTATGATCAGTGAAAGAGCTTGTAATGTGTTGTTGTCCTTTAGTAACTGCTCTATTACTCCATCAGGTAGAGGAGGAGGAAAAGCATCATCATTCCATTTCCAGTAAAGATTAACATGTAATGTTAATGATGTTATTGTTTTATTTCTTGTTACTCCTCTAATGACACTAACGATGACACTATTAGTGATTTCATTCCCTCCTTCACACTCAATCTTCATTTCTTGTAGTGTTGAATTCATTTCTATACATTTCTCAAGTTCAGTGCACTTTTCTGTGTAGTATGTGTTGCCAATTGTTGGTATAGTAGGACGTCTCATTATTAAGTGCAGTATCTTCAATTGATGAAGATTGAGGAACTGTAACAATACAAGACAGGGAACATATTGACCTGATGATAATTCCCAGTAGCACTCCTGAATATTGTATAGAAGTGATGATTGTAATAATTTGCGTATTGATTCTTCTGTGGGTTCATACAACAACTCTACCTCCAGTCCCTTGCACTGGGTCTGTAGAAATATGGTTTGCTCAAGTGATAGTTCCTTATTAACATTTATCAGGTGCAATGTTAATGTGTTGGAATTGTTTATACAATAACTGAGACACAACCAGTCAAACAATGATAATGATAATGATAATCTATCCTGACACAGTGAGTGGTTGTTGATGGATTGTGCCAATATTTGACATAATGTTGTGTTCTGTGATTCATACAGGAGTTGAAGAAGAAGAATAGGAACATTGTCAAAATCATCAGCTCTAATATGACCTGCTCTAATCTCAGGATTCTGATAGAAGTAAGAG